AAAATGTTTATTTTTAAAGAAGAATATTAATATTTGGACCGCGTTAAACAGAAAGGAACCAAGTCACATCAGCTACTGCCTTTAATTGGGCAATTTCGTTCACTACATGAAAACGGTTGAGCGGATTTTCGTGCAAATTTCAGTGAAAATTCTCCGTGGTACGAAGCAAATTCCTTAAAATTTTCAAAGAAATCCGAACAAACGTTCTCTCGTAGAAAATTTGATTGCCCGGTTTAACTTGGCAATAGCTGATGTGGCTTGGTTCCTTTCTGTTAAGCTCGGTCCATTTTTCCTTGATATTATCAGGAGCTTTAAGAGAAATTGCGAATTTAGTTATCTGAAAAATTAGGAGGAAAATATTCACGAGTTCACCGAAAAATTCGTGTTTCAGAGAAGGAAATTGGGCAAGGTCTGAAGGTCCATACGGCGGTTTTCCTTGGCACGGCAAAATTTGCCCCGAGTCCTTAGGATTGCGCGAGTTCTGGGACTCCTTTGATAGTGGACATGTTCGCTTGTGATATTGACATATTCATCCCAAATAACATACTATTGTGCAGGTGCAGCAAACGGAAATATGTTCAAACCGTAGCTCGCTGTAGCTAAAACGGAAAAACGGAATCGTTACGAAGTTTAAGTACATGGTATCTAAAGAAGCTCAAAATGCCTGCCTACAAAATCGAACGAATCCGAGGGATATCTCAATGATTGCAGCATCGAGCGGAGCATTGCACGTTTGAGCCTCGCGGCATCGCGCCTTCAATTTGGTAGAAACAACACGGACATCCATCGAGCACGAATAGTCGTATCTCTGCGCCGTTATCAACTCACGTCGTCCTTCACCTTCCTCCGTTCCCACGTTGTGTAAATATTGGAATAAAGGTAAAAAGCCCCATTGCGGGCTTATAAAAATCGTATATTGATGCTTCAATTGTTCGTTGACAAAAAGGTTGAGGTGGTATCGATATTTTGGGGGCATCCACTGCAAATTCATGATTGAAACTGTCTTTATCAGTCAGACAAAATTCCTGCTGAAGAAGTTAAAGAGGTAAAAGACGGAGTGGAAACAGAGGAAATAAGTCGCCGAACAGTAAAAGGACGGACAAATGCAGAGAAAGAGATAAAGAAGACAAAAAAATTCAAATCCACGCTGGGAAACGGCAGATAAAGTGGAGCAAGAGAAAACGACGGCGAGGATCAGCGGGAATAATACAGGGCAAAAAGTCGAAGGAAAAGAGAAGCGAGCAAAAAAACCGAGTGCTGTTCAAATGAAGAAACTCTAGACCAAACAAAGAGCCGGCCGCACCTCCTTCTCTGTCCCGAAAAAAGCAGAAGGATGAAAAAAAAACTTTTAAGACAAAAGCTCGAGAGCTTATATTCAAATTAAGTGCAAATACTGCGACATTTCCCAGCCCTGCCGCCGTTTTTTCCCTCCAGTCTTAAGTTCCGCCGCTGGAAGGTGAAGCATGAATAATCGACTATCGATCTCTACTCCCATTCGAAGCTACGGAATATAATCGATGATCGCGGTACAGCCTTAAAATCGATCCTTTACCACAGGTTTAAACGGTAGATCGATCGATACATCGCGATGGCGAGTCACTTAAAGGTAAGTGCAACCGGGGCCGCCCGAGCGAAAGAAAACAGTCCATTTCCTTCTTTTCGTATCTTATTGAAAACTGTTAAGCGGATTTCTGTTCCGCTCCTGTTAAAATATGTAAACGAAATCAAATGAATGTATATCTTCCTAACTTTCGGGGAAGAGTCAACAAGAGCCCGGGCGGAATATGAGTTGGGCGTATTCGTGCTGAAAGGAACTACGTCACACGCAATCCCTATGCACTTAGTTCCTTCCAGCGTAAATACGTCCGGTCGAGCGAGGAGTCGGGAGGGAAAAAAATTAACAGATATTTCGATGAGAGAACTTCTTTATGAATTCATTAAGTGCTCCGCTCGTCGGGATATCAGCGAGAATACTTTGAAAGTAAACCGAAAAATAAAGTCGAGATTAGAGGGAGAGTCGCGAGGGAGGAGGGATTAAAGCACATAAATTCTGGAAAATGAAGATGAAGAAGTATTTCGATTGACACAGTCGCAAAGCGCGAATTCAAACCTGGAAGACCAAAATCTCGGCTGTTCGAATTTTCAAAGAATAGGAAAAGATAGAGACTGCCCTAGTAGCAGTCGGAATCGATTCCGACTATGTCAGATGATGACGCCAGAGGATCAGGGGATGACTCGCGCTTCGAGGACACCGCCTAATTATTGCTCTTTGAATTCCGCGAGTCCAATGCCAGTTCCAGTTTTTGGATTTCATTTAATTATTTGTTTTAAGTATTAATGTTATTAATTTTTTTATTGCAAGTATTAATGTTCAGAAATAAAAATTGTTCATTCTCTAAAATTGAATGAATTACTTTTCAGACCAATGTTTGCTTCCACGATTCCTGAGTTCCTGAATTCCTTCTTTATTTTAAACTACAAAAGAGGAATAATTCAACATTTGTCTTTTCTTCCTTCATCATGTAGCCTCAAAGCCTTCACAGGAAATAGACTTAGTTTGCTTTGAATTTTGAATCTACATTCAATTATTTTACTCTAATTTGCAATGACTATGAAATGGTTGCCTCCTTTTTATCGAAACCGATCAAGATTTGTATTTCATGCTGAGTAAAAGTAAGAGAATCTTCATCAGAGGTGCAAGTATGCAACATGTGCAAGTATATCTGGACCGAGTTTAACGGAAAGAAAACAAGCCGCATCAGCTGTTGCCAAATTTAATTGGGCAATTCAATTTTTTTAAGAGAGAATGTTTGTGCAGATTCCTTTGAACATACTTTAAGAAATTTGCTCATATTACTACGGAGAAAATTCACTGTATAATTTGCACGAAAATCTGCACAACCGTATTCACGTAGCAAAGTAAATTGCCCAATTAAATTTGGCAATAGCTGGTGTGGCTTGGTTCCTTTCTGTTGAACGCGGTCCATGGGGGGAAGGGGGAAAAAAAAAAGCCGAAGCGTATAACGGTACTACAACGGTTATATAAAGGTTAAGTAACGGGATGTTCAAAGGAAACCTTCAATGTATAAAGTTCATGTAACCAGTTATATAATGGTTATACATCGTGTTATAGAACGGTTATACGACGGCGTTTTCCTTTGAACATTCCGTTACTTAACCGTTATATGAGTGGTATACTTTCGTTAAATACTCATTATAATTTCATTAATTTTTTTTACATAAATCTGCTACTAGGGTGATCGGTAAAAATTCGAAAAAATCATGCTTCTTGGTTTACAATAAGATCATTAAACTCAGTAAGTTCCCGCTTAGAAACGCATTCGACTGCGAGGACAATAACGAGGAATGCGGTCCCGTAAACTCCACACGAAGCTATACTGCCTTGTTAATAAAAAACGGCGTATGAGCTATTACATGACCACAATTCCTTTAAAAAAGACGAATTTGTTGGGAAAATTGTGTATATTTTTCTTTAAATTATTCAGACAACTCTGTTTGCTATTTTCTAAAATCTAACATTTTAAAGAGAAATTATGCGTAACTTTCCTCGAAAATACAGGTTCTATCCGGGTATATTTAGCGACTCTATAATGTTCATGCGGTGTTCTTCCTTAGCACGGAAACAGAGGTACCGAAAGTCACGTGACAAATTAATAAAAAACAAACGACAACGATTACCGGTTTACTTGATGTGTGATGTAGGAAAGAGAAGATTTATTATAAATGATGTTTGAGATGTACGTACACGGTTTTTCAATGCAAAATTGCGACACATGGAACCTTCGTCTGTCGTAGTATCCTTCTCAAAGTGAGGAGGTTCAAAAAATTGTTTTCTCTCCATTTAATCCATGGAAATAAATCTATTCCAGGAGGAGTCAAGTGCTCCGACAGAATCGATTATTCAACACGAGTTCAAACGAAGAGAGGAAAAGGTTGCTAACTTGCTGGATCCGCTCCTGCTGGAAGCTAAAAAGGGCGCTTCCTCATAAAGATTGTAAGTTGGGCGACTATTTCAGCCTTTTTAATCGTAGTTTTTTAACAAATTTTCAGCGAGAAGTGGAACTTTTTTCCGCTTTTCAAATAGTTAGCAACATGAGCCTTACTCTTTACTACTTAGTAAAGCGGAAAGGGTTCAGCGTCGGGGCGGGATGGGATGATGGACTTCAAGACATTCTTCCGGCGTATGTGCGACGAAAATCAAAAATAACGCATGAAAGCATACGCGGCAAAAGAGCTCCAGTCAGATACTTGGACGTAATTATGCTAAAACGAACTAGAGAAGTGCACTGGAAACTAAAGTCGCTTGGATCTAGAGTCCAGACTCTTGAAAACATCAACAAGAATTATTACTCTTGATTCAATCGGATTTTTGCTTAAATCGAGAACCAAGTCTCTTAGTTCAAGCGTATTTCCTTTTGATTCAAGCAAGAACCAAGTCTCTTAGTTCAAGCGTATTTCCTTTTGATTCAAGCAAAAAGAAGATTGAATCATGAGTATTCTTTCTTGTCATTGTTTTCAAGAGTCTGGAATCTAGATCCAAGCTTCTTTTTTTTCCAGTGTGTGGGAAAGATGGGAAGTGCTAGTGGTGAGCTGCATGAGGAACAATGTAAAAGAGGGCCGCGAGGGTGTAGTTCCTTTTGAAGAATTGGAAAAGCGGGAATTCACATTAAATCGAAAGGAACTATGTGCCAAAATATGCTAACTCATAAGCCGTGGGCATAGAACAAAGGCCTGGTGGACAGGGCTCATGAGTTAAAGCGGAGGTGGGAGGAGCGCGGCGACGGTTTCATCGCCGCTGACGTCACTGGCGCTTTATTATCCCCATCCCCTCTTGCGGCCCTCATGTGACGAGCACACCCCAGATTTCCCGCCGCACGTTTCGTATAAATACGTCCACTTGGCAACAACGTGGCACCATTTTCAGATATCAGCTGATAAGCGGTAAAAAGGCATGATTCGAATTTTGCACAGTAACCTATAAGTCAAAAATAAACGCATGGAACTTTTACGATTTTAAGAAAACTGGTTTCCAAAGTGAAGTGGTGGTAGTTATTGTAAGTGAGTGTAATCGGTGCTGTGCGCAAAAAGAGCTGCAGGGATGGACAATTTTTTTTTCTGAGTAGTTTCTAAAAGACTGTTCTGTTTTATGAATTGTGGTGAAAATCTTTAGCTAAATGTGTCTGATCTTACACTCATGGTTTGGAAAGGACCTTGGAGATGGTGTCATGCTCGGTTCTGTCCTTGGCATTGTAAGTAAATAAATATACCTACAATAGATTGGCAGATGAAAACACGATATGATGCCAGAGGACTATTAAAAAAAGTGTTAATTACTTCCTACCGGCAAGCTCATCGCAGATGAGCAAATTTCGTTTTACTTATTGTTAAGATAAAGAACATGTGTTAAGTAAACATGTACCTCTGCACGACTCGATTTTTTTAATGAGATGTGAACTTTCGACGGAGGAGTTCAGGCAATAGGGATGATGAAGCGCACGTGTACAGTAATCATGTTTCTCTGCACGACTTGATTTTTTATGAGAAGTGAACTTTCAACGAAAGACTGCAGCCAATCCTGCAGGATTCGAAAACGAAGTAGACTTGGCTATATCTCACCGTTAGCTGATCATCCATTCCTCAGCGACAAAAAATACTGAGGTATCCGTATACCAAAACACTTGCTTGTCTGTTCCAGTTGCTGACTTTTTTCAAGAGTGGTTTTTTCGGCCTCTTGTACTATCTCACGGTGGACAAACATACTTTTTGGGATAGAGGTAAGTGCAAGAACAAAACTTAAAACGAGAGATGAAAATAGAGGGAAGAAAAAGAATGAAACTTAAAACTAGAGATAGAAATTGAGGTAAGAAAAAGGATAAAACTTAAAACTAGAGATACAAAGTTCGGCCGTGAAGTGGCTCAGTATTCCATTGAAATTATATAAAAGGAAACCAGCACACAAACTACGATATTCGATTCTATTGAAATCTTAGAAACTTCACTTAGGTGCACGTCCAATAAAAAATGGACGAGACTTTGCCTCTTTGAAAATTTGACTCGCGCGAGTGAGGGGTTTTTCAAACTAAAGTATCGCATTTTCCCATGGAAGGTAAAACAACCGAAGTGTGCATAATTTCACCTGAAAGGAGGAATAATAGGGTTACGATTATGAACTCAAAGATCTGACTTGACACAAAGTGATCAAAATAGGAAAATGATCCCAACAAGTGGTTGTGTTCAAACTCTTTACTGTGAAAAGAGGTCTCGGCGCAAGTTGCGGAAGAGTTACTTGAATTAAGAAGACAGGAAAAATCGAAAACTGAATGAAACAACAACCATTAGGATGTATTTACGCTAAAAGGAACTATTCGAATAGGATTTGCATGCAACATAGTTCCTTTTAGCATAAATACGTTGATTTGACAGATATGTGGGGTAGGTGAATAATAATGCCATATTACGATAGGACTACAATATGCAATAAGGAACAATTATTTCTGGCTCATTTCAGAAACAACATATGGATAGCATTTGGCAAAACGGAACCAGGAGCATTTCAATGTCGCTAAGACCATGCAACTATTTGGACCTTGCAAATATTGACTGATTATCTAAAAAGTTTTATCTTTACTCCCAAAAAACTATACATTCGAGATAAAAGAAGTCACCGTTATGAATTTAATTTTTTTCATGATTTCAGTGATTTTGTTGCAACCACGTAGTATTGTCGCACAATCCTAGCAACATTGGAATGTTCTCGGTTCCTTTTTGCGAAATGAAATCCATATGTTGTTGGTTTCCCTAGGTGCTCTTATGGAAAAGGCAAAGCTAACGATTCCTTACTGATGAATGTAATCCAATTAACTATCCTGTCTAACACGTGCCCCGCGGGTTGCATGGGACCGGTACGAACTACACGGAAAAAAAAATTGCTGATTCAACAATTCAATTGCTAAAAACAGTGAGTGCGATGTTTCAACGCAGATTTTACAACAAAAAAATGCCGCTGTAACCACATTGTAAACTAATTTGACCACGGCGCTGAATCAGCAATTTCTTTTTCCGTGTAGCTTTGTCAACACAGCCGAAGATGGAGACGTATTCGTCTCGACTTTCAACTTTACTCCCACATCTGAGCGACACACAGAACAGAGCATTGCGATCAGTTTACGCCTGGCGACATGGCACCTTCAATTTGGCAGCCGCAACATGGGCATCCGTCAAGCCCGAATAGTTGTATCTCTGCGCCGTCATCGACGCGCGTTGAGGTGTATCGTATTGCTGAAGTTTGAGAAGAGTCAAGATTGCTCAAAGTATGCAAGGCTATGTCCAAATTGATGGTCATTTAGGGGGGGGGGGTGTTTAAGGGTATCCAAAACGCCCTAAAGGACACACGTCTAGGGAATTTTTCTGACAACTACACCTAGAAATTCCAAGCAGAGTCAGAATGACCCGACTATCTCTTCTGTGGGGGTTACATTTGGACGTATTTCTATCAAACGGAACTATGTGCATTAAGACATGAGCCCTGGGACCCATAAGAATGCATGCATACCAGGGCTCACGTCATAATGAACATACTTCCGTTTGACAAAAATGCGTCCATTTGGTGGATGAGGAGCGCCAGTAGGTATGTTACCAATAACGTGTAACCTGACTAGGAATTCGCGTATTGAGCAAGTCTTGGGCATCTGGGAATTAAAATCGATCGACATTCCATCATTATCAACAGAGAATTTCGCGGCTTGTTCCGGACAAAAAATAAATCATTCACTCCGGAATCCAGGCTTGTAATTCTTATTTTCATTTCAGAACTAGCTTCCCCTTCACCACTGACATATTTCATATACGATTTGGTTATCCTCCTGGCGTTCATCCTGATTTTCATCGGAGGCAAAAAAGTAAGTCGACACCAGAATCATTTCCATTCAGAATAGAATAATACTGATATAAGAACACTAATGCTAGGCGTCCGATGATATAGATGTTCTAGCGTCGAAAAATGACTGAATTTGACAACCTTGACGTTACGGTTCGGTGAGCATGTACAAAACTCTACATATTACTGGTGGAATTGTCCGTTTGGGAAACATGCGGCACTTGGCTGGCGACTTGCGTTAGGCGCCTTGGCCACTGTGTGCATAACCGACGTTCTTACACTTATTACACGATGTGGCACTTGACTTCACAGAAAACGTGGATTTCAACTTCAGCCCTAAAAGCTGTTGCATCACTGTCATTTTAAAAATTAAGCATTTTCATTTAACAAACACTTGTGAGAAGATAACGCACACGAAGACATAGCTAGAAAACAGTAATAAAATAGAGAAAAAACACAAGGATAAGAAAGACTAAAATGCTTTAAAACACTGAGAGGCCAGAACGCTTAAAAGCGTTACCGACCAATTTTCATTGGCAAACTAAGAAAAAAAGAGAAGAAAAAATAGAGTAATTTCTAACGTCAGCCGTGTCATCCGATGGAGAAGCTTAAAGTTCGTCAATTTTCGTAAGATTTAGTAAGCTTTTTCAATATAAACACTCAATTCTCATTTGACTTTCTTTTATCTTGACGGACATATTTGTTGCTGAAATTCTGTAGGCGATCACGCTACGTGTCATTTTTAAAACTCTGTATCTTTGTCATTTTTTAAGCAAGAGAACTGTTCTTGGTCTCGCTTCATCGGTAATCACGTCTACTTTAAACACACACAAATCGCAAATCGGTAAAAACTTTCGTTCGCTCAAAACCCGGAAATTTGCACAACTTTTTGTACAACTTTTGAGTCTTTGCCACTTTTATTTACGTCTACGGAAATCTTATTCCATATTCTTCGAGGTGTCCTTGGACTATTTCCGTCCCACATGCTGCGATTCATTTCGACATCTTATAAATCAGCACGGGTTGTGTAAGCCCGTCTGTGCTAGTTATCATACACTTCCATTTCGTTATTTTGAGCTCAACCTGACAACCCTGTTTCACTCCTTCGGCCGCCCACCCTTTTGCGAACAACAAGCTAGAGCACGAAATGCGAGGAGCTCCGCAAGTTTGTTTTCGGTTTTTTTCCCCTCCGCTTTCTTCCTCGCTTTTTATTTCCCTTTATTTTAATGTAAAAGATGAGCACTTGTTAAGGAATCGGAGCATTAAGAACGTCGCAAGTTGCGACTTTATTAAAGCGCACAGTGGAACGAGTATTCGGAAGAAGTCAAACATGAAATTTTCGATAAAAATTGTAAATTTTAATGACTATTTTGCCAAATTTTAAATTCTATGGGATGCATGTTATGAAAAATTCAACGAGGAAACCAATGAAACCACTATTAAAGCATCAAAACTTTGGACTAACGGAGTTATAAGCTTTTACAGTTATTACATTTTGTCCAACCTCTCCTATTGGCTCGATCCACAACTGTGCGCCTGGATCGGGTCCTCGGGAAACCGTTTCCTTCCCCACAAGTGTTAGTCGAGGGATTGCCTAATGGTCGGGGAGAAGAGGACGTACCTCTAAGTCAGGAGTGTCTCCAGAGATGAACTTCCTGTGCTTAAAGGACTCTTGAAAATACGCCATGGAACTTAAAGGATGCCTCCATCGATGGAGATCGAAATTATTCTTGAGATGGGAAAGTTTGGATGCTCCGCAAGCCGTGATATGACACCCATTTAAAACAATTGTAACAGCGGGTAAAAGCGTAAGTTTTGGACTTGCGCTCTTTTTCCGGGAAGCTCCTCAATCAGATATATTGATTCTAGACGGTTTGCTAGTGGCAAAATTATAACTTACTCTCGAGTTAGAATCTCCACGCATGGGCGATTTATATATTTAAAGCACACTCAGATATAAAAGAGAGAATCCACCTTAAATCCGTAGTTTACGGTCGTATCGACTTTAGATATTGCTTGTTGTCAATCGCGAAATGGCAACATGCAGAGGGGACTCAACGAGACACAGGGAAGAAGCCAAGTAAACCGAGTTTGTTTACTTCTCCCCATTCCCGTCCCTGCAGCAAACCAAGCGTCTGCTTTGCATTTTTTCCCATTATTCCTTGAGTCCTTGGCCCCCACCTCCTCCCTTCAGTCACTTGCACCCGGGATTTTCTTCTCTACCGTTGAGACCATGTTCGTGGCTGGGTGAAGCACCCAATCCCTAGATAGAGGCACATGTGTATAATGATGTGCGCTGAGACTTCGAAGTCGATATCGTCCCGCCTCAGTAAGGTACGATTGGATTACATTTTGCAATAAAGAACCACTGTCTCTGTCTCTTCCATGAAAGCACGTATCTGCATGGGGAAATCAATGGCATATATGCTGTTTCTAAAGTGAGCACGAGATAGTGGCTCCTTGTTGCAAAAGGTAATCCAATTGAACGAGACAAACAGAAGATTGGAGAATCCCAATTGATTTGTCGTACGTTTAGTTACCTTCAGAAGTATTATGAAAATTCTGAGGAGTAAACGCTTATAAACATGATAGAATGTTTAAGTAAATGGATACAACTACTTATTTCAGGTCGGGTCATCTATGATGTTTTCGACTTGCCGGAGACTTTGAAGTCGATATAGAGAACTCACTGTGGTACGGTTGAACAAAATAGACGCAGACTTGAGCAAAACCAATATGATTTTTGAAAATCTTGTTCTGTTGAAGACGTTTTGAAATTATTCGGTGTAACATCTTGAGAATAATGTGGTGCTTCCATCATGAAACGACATCACTACATCTCTTCTGGACGAATCATCCATCATGTTAATGACTCTAACAATTTATGCAAAATGTTTTAGATTGAGAATAAAACATAGTCAAAACAAAGCGAAAAAACAAAGTGTCTATACAAAATTAAAAGCCCACCTTGCCGCTATTAGGAACGATATTTACAATGACTTCGGATTCTTTAGATTCTAAATTATTGAAGAAACTCAAAGTGCATCATGAATGTAATGACTCTGAAAATTCTACTAGTATGTCTTAAATTCACTCGAATGCTTCCGAGAGGACCGAATCGAACCGATTATTTTCCAAAGCACGTAACCGTCTTAATTCGGAATGCGGGGAAAACAAACAAAAAACTCGTTTAATTCCCTTTGGGAACCATCTCCGAATTCCAAAAAATGCTTCTTCTTTAAAAGAATTATTTTGAAATCAGACATGATTGATTATACCAGAGAAAATAAAGAAAGAACAACCCCTCTATCACCAAAATAGAGATTGCCGCTCCCGTGATTTGGAAAATAATCGGTTCGTTGAGAGTAATTTTAAGATGGCTGTCAATATGTCTGGTGGATGATCTCAGCTCGTAGCAGAAGCAAACTAACTCCGAATGATAGCCACCATCACCGTGGCGCACTGTGCAATGTATCGATTGATCCGCCGCTCAAAATGGAAAAGGATCGATAAACAGCGTGTTCGCAATAACTCCTTAATATTCGATTCTTGACAATAGCTTCAAATGGGGAAATATGGATATTCGATGATTCACGCACTGGAAAAAAAAAACCAAAAAAACACATTGGATCTGGAGTCCAGACTCTTAAAAACATCAACAAGAAAAAGTACTCTTGATTGAATCAGAATCTAGAATAAATCAAGAACCAAGCCCCTTAATTTTAGCGGATTTCGTTTTGATTCAAGGAAAAATCCAATTGAATCAAAAGTATTTTTTCTTGTCAATATTTTCAAGAGTCTGGACTCTAGATCCATGTGTTTTTTTTCCCAGTGCGCCTCGCCGCTGACGTGAAATGCTACTGTAACTCTTCGGTACTTGGCCTATGTCATACTATCAAAATACGCCATCAAAGTGCCAAGGTCAAGTGCTGTGATTAGTCCAAGTCATCTAATAAGCCAATCACAATACCTGATCATTATTTTGATTGCCTAGCTTTGATAGTATAACAGAGGCTCTTGTCAACGGGACAAAATCAATGACAACAAACTAATCCTAGTTCTAATTCCTCAGTGCAGCTCCGCGCTGCTGGTGACCGGTCTCATCTGTCTGATCGTGGGATTTGTAGCCCAATTTCTGTCCCTAACCGTCCACATCGCGGCGTGGATCGCCAAAGGTCAACAATTGCAGCATGGCGCCGCCAACGCTCACCCGACGTTTTTCATCAAAAGGACGACTGAAATGCCGTTTCTTTTTTCAGAGGAACCGTAAGTGCCTCCCGGAATCAATAAGCCTATGAATATGATAGAGCTCAAAAAAACCACAAAATGAAAAGCACTAGAATACGGAAGTAAAAAATGGGTAAAAAAGGCTAAAAAAGGAAGTTACAAGCCGCCAAGGCCCATTGTCGGCTGCAAGAAATGATGAAAACAACCAAAATATGAAGTGGTTTGAGTGATAAAGAGTGGTTGAATAATGAAGACTGCGTTACGTTTCATTTTTAATAATTTTAAATGTTTTTTGCAGCTGAAAATAAACCTGCATGAGATGGCTTAAAACGTCCTGATTATTAGGTGTTTGGGACCGCGTTGGAAGAGGGGAACCGAGGCACATTAGCTACTGTCAATTTTAACTGTGCAATTTCATAAAAGAACATTAGTGCGCGCTCCTTTGAAAGTTTCAAGGAATTTGCTTCAAATTATGTAGAAAATTCACTGAAATTTGCACAAAAATCCGAATAACCGTTTACATGTAAGAAACTAAATCGCCCAATTTGACAATAGCTGTACCTTTTTGCTTGACGCGATCACAGCTTTGTTTCACCTATTCCTTACTAGCGTATTGTAACGTATTTCACATGAAAATTCGATATATTAAAAAGCCTAGAAAAAAACTCCTTCTTTCAAGAACTCGAGAAATCGTTTGAAATGGTTGGAAACCACGTGATTTCTATCACCAATTCGGTACAGAAATCGAGTTTAATTAGAACGAATTAAGAATTAACAAAGTTTGATAGCGGAATCTTATAATTAAGTACTAAATTCATTAAAAATCAGCATAACTGCACTGCTCGTTGATACCATTAAATTGATATATAACAATAAGCGAAATTTTTTAGAGAAATTAGGGAGGGTTGTTACTTCATCTAATGATGAAATCATAGCAATTATCAGACAATTAAGTTGCTTGGCTTCTTGTACGGAAGAAGAAAAAAAGAAAAAAGAGGAACATGACGGAATGAGCAACGTAAAATGCTATGAGAAAAATCATGCTGATTTATTGCGTTTGTATCATCATTAAGACAGCCACAACGAGTCAATTGACGACGAGCCATACACTGAAAAACATGTTACAATCAATTTACGCATACCGTCCGTTGCGGGCTTAGAGGCCGAAAGATCCATATGCTGGACACGTAGCTTTGACTGCTCCGGGTGCAGCACCCGGAACTTTCGGCTTCTGAGCCTAGAAAGTAGACGGTATGTTTCTAAATAGCCCGTAAATTCGGCTTGCACAGCTGAAATATGGTTCCGGTGTATTGCATCGCGTTTTGTCTCGTAAAAACCCGTAAATTTCCCGATTTTTCGAAAAAAAAAATTGCGGCTTTTCACCCGGCACGAAAAATCACTGATTCGACTAAAACGCATTTTTTTCAACATTGTTCCTTATGGAAGCATCCCGTGACCAAAGAAAATTTCGACTTCATCGGATTTTCGTCATAAGCGTGGTTCGACTAAACGAACTTTTGCTGAACTTTCTAAATTCATAAGTTTATTTCAATACCCTCTTTTACGTGATGATGATGTTTCAGGACGATGAGGACAACGCTGACCGTCACGGCACTGTTCATTTTAACCGCGATGTACCTAAGTAAGTACACTGATCCTCATAACCCTCAGATTTTTCTGAGATTTTGCTGATTTAGAGAGAGAGAGAGAGAGAGAGAAAATGACGAAGGAAAAACCAACGAAGAAATTTTCATTTTTCAACCTGCATTCGAAGTCACAGCCGTGAGAGGTGGAGAGTCATGCGACCGACCACAGTGGCGCGTTTAACGGCTTCGTATTGAAAATAAGGAATGAACGATCAAAAATGAGTATATTTCACATCCTTACGTCGATAATATCAATCTGTCTTCTGTGAATCGATTATAGGTATCGATCTATGATAGAACGTAGAATTAGAATAGTTTATCGACATATCGACGGCTGAAGTACGAGACCACATACCTCCGTTTGCGACATTGTAAACTTCCACTCGTACTTTACTTTTTCCTTGGCAAACTTGTGAACGTTATTCAATGAGAACTTCTTCCTTGTTTTTACTTATCTGCACGTAGAATATTCTTCTAAAGTTCCCAGCTGTAAAGTTGACTTGCTCCTCTTTAAAAATAGGAGAAAAAAAATAGGCGTGGACACTTTGAAACACCGCAACTGAGATACGTGGTGTCGCACCTCAGCCACCGATACTGATCTACAATAAAAAAAACTAGATTTGATCTATTTTTTTTTACTTCCAGTTTACACTTTCTACTTTATTATGACGGTTACTTCATACACTGCTCACATCGGAGAGGTCAGAGTGCGGTGATAACTGGTTCTAATAAATTGTGATTCTGGAAATCAGGATCTCGAGAGAGCGATCTTCACAAGACTCAAAACATAGCTGGACGAGAACTTGGAGTCGGCGCGGCGCAGTGAACGAACCGCGCGCCTTCAATTGAGGCGTTATGCGATCTGACCTACCCAGGAGTTCGAATAATTGCCGCTCGGGGTTTGACCGAAGTATCCGCTGAGATCTTCCGTGGACTCCACTGCGCAGGCTACAAAACTCTTCGCAAAAAATGTAGGCGATTGAGCATATTGTTAGTTGGCAAGTATGGCTAACTTAGAGAGAAAAAACTACCATAGAAAGAATAAGCATCATTCAACTATTCGTTGTTCTTTTTGATATGCTTTTCGCTTTTTTTACTAAGGAAAATGTATCAATCTCTATTGGTGTGAAACAAAATCAGCTGCGTTGGACAAAAAAATTAACCAAGTAAACTGCACTGCCAAAGTTGTACAGTACAAAGAACTGGAGCTGCGCTTAAAATATTAAAAAATAAATTGACAATGTCCAGGTGTAAAAACAAAAACAGACGGTGAAAAACCGGAGCATATTTGTTGTGTCAGCTCGAGTAAGGTGCACAATCTTAGCAGCAGTGCAAAGCACTTGGTCAATTCCTGTTGTCAAGATGATTCTGTTGGCAGTACACAGAAAAGCGATGTGTGAGAGAATGAAAGGAAGGCTGATGATGGCTGGGATGAACAATCTTGAAGTTATTTAGTATTTATGAGAAATAGATTTTGTTTAACAGAAACTCACCAAGTCACATTTCCACCAAAATTTAGTTACAAATGGTTTTAAGCTCAGCCTGTGGAGGCACTTTACTTTCTCTAGCAAAACATTCAAAGCCCACTGAAGATGTTTAGTTGTCAAACATGGGCTCAACATTACTTTCTTGCCTCCAAAACAAGGCCCTTATCTACAGTGTGTTAAAATAGGCAGAGCTAATTTGGATTTCAACGAAATACGGTATTTTTGAACTAAAGGGCCGAAAATAAGAGAGGAATTTCTCTCATGAAATACATCGGAAACAGTGATAGATAGAACCATATCACAATTTATCTCTGACATGGTATATTTTCAAATTTTCGTGGAGAGGGGGGGGGGGATACTTTTCTTCAATGGTTTCAAACAACCCCTTCCCCCCAAATACCCAAGTGTTTCTTCTAATCGGTTCAGAATAGAGATGTAGAATGAAAACTGTTGACATGTAATTTCATACAATTTTCAGGGGCTGCATATGCAACCCAAATATTTATTTTCAAAATATCAAAATTCCAAAATTCCATTTATAATGTCTCTATGTTTTTCACAGCCTTCCGAGTGAATGACTGGAGTCCCACAAATTTCAGACTGTATTTCAAATTTTGCATCTCTGTTCCGGAAAAGAGAAAATGCTGGAATGCTATCAGAGAATTTGCTGAAACATTGCATTAAAATCACCCACATTACTTTTGCTTAATAGTGTCTAATTATTGACATTTTTATTTCACAAGAGAATGTATGCACCAAAACTACAGAACGTTTGCTGTACACTGAGAAAAAACTATGGCTTATAAACCTATTAGAGGTAAATATGGAACACCACTAATAGTAGTACCTCTACATATAATAATAGCACATATACCTTAGTTATGGTCTCTGTACCTTAATTAGGTACAGAGACCTTAGTATGGTTCACAGACCGAGAATCATTAGTTTATTTACGACTATTATAGGTGTTCCATATTTACCTCTAATAGGTTTATAAACCATAGCTTTTTCTCAGTGTACCTCTTACAATGACCTTCTGAATAAATTGTTTTTTGGCGCTCATACGCCCTTTTAACTAAACGGCTCAATTGCCGACGACAGACCCCCGTTTGAAAACCGCGCGACCGGTAAACTTGCAGTGTGACCCTGCTTCCCAATGAAAGGGAACTGAAAGCTCATTGGTATGTGAGACTAGTGTTTTCTTTCTACTCTATTTTATCATTTATACTGTAGCGTCGGATCGAGTAAACTATTTTGCAATACAACATATCTTGGTGTAAAATTTTGTCGATAAAGAAGTGTATCTATAAGGGCACTTCACTTTATGTCTCATCGAAAAGTACTGTGACATAGAAATTTGTGTTCGTACTGTTTGTTTGATTGTTTATCGTCATTTCCCGCCGGTGTGAAGTGTACTCAAGATTTTAACGTGAACCTGTTGTGCTGTACCTCGTTCCCTCGTGTTTGTAAGTTTGTATAAGTGAAAATGGATAGGGAAACAGTGGAATTTCTGAAACGAATTGGTCTCGAGCGGTATGTGGATGCCTTCAAAGGTCAGTACATAGCATACTATGTTACAATTTATAAAGACTTGGATGTATAGTTCACACCTAGATTTCTGTCTTCGAGTGCTTATCAGCATCCTAGCTTTCAACATTTTCATTTACTTCAGTTGAGCCTTATCAGTGGTTGAATAAGCATCACTGAGAAAAAGCTATGGTTTATAAACCTATTAGTGGTAAATATGGAACACCTATAATAGTAGTAAATAAACTAATGATTCTCGGTCTGTGAACCATACTAAGGTCTCTGTACCTAATTAAGGTACAGAGACCATAACTAAGGTATATGTGCTATTATTATATGTAGAGGTACTACTATTAGTGGTGTTCCATATTTACCTCTAATAGGTTTATAAGCCATAGTTTTTTCTCAGTGATCTTCAGGAGGAAGTGACTTACTTATGTTTTGCGTACTTAAATTTAATTTTTGCTACGGTATCCGCTTATTTAGTTCTAAAAGCGAGGAGGAGGCCGCGATGGTGGATAAGGCCGTGGTGGAGAGACGAGCACAGCATAGTTGAAGTTACTCATGATGAAATGCGCCCAGAAGACCCAGACAGCTTCCGGACGATTTTTCGGGTAAACCCGGAAACTTTTGACATTTTGCTCTCAAAAATTGAGGCCAAAACGAGGAGGAGAGAAGATACAAATATGCGAACGGCGAGGACGCTACAGTAAGTACTAAATTAATTGTCGAACAAAGATATGTATCAAGTAATCAGGGAATTCACATGTGTACATGAAGTACATTACTTAATAGATGAAGGTCCAGGAGGGATTTTGGCGAGGGTGGTAACATTTGGAGAAATCTAATTTCCCTCACACCCTCAGCAATCCTGCCATCGTCGAGCCATGAACAGCCTCCCATTTTTCAGCACTCGCCGAATTACCAGATTTGAAACAACGCGATGAAATTCCTCAATTTTTAGCCAAAATCCAGGAACATCTCCACGCCTTACGCGCCTTAATGCAGGATTTGACCGTCGTTGGACCAGCTCTCGTCATGTCAATTCTGAAGCGATTTTCAGAGGAAATCATGGGAAGATTTGAGGACCAGCGAGAGGGTTGCAAGAAATGTGCAACTCTAACGGAGATTGAAGATTTTCTGAAGTCTGAAACAGTGAAGTTATTGGATTCATCAACCGCACTGAGAAAAAACTATGGCTTATAAACCTATTAGAGGTAAATATGGAACACCACTAATAGTAGTACCTCTACATATAATAATAGCACATATACCTTAGTTATGGTC